ACAAGACAGATATTCTATATATATGATATATATATATATATATATATATATATAGACATCTCAAAACAATATAATAATTCTACTATAGAAAACTACTGCTGTTTCCATTATTTCCTCTTCAACTATGTTGTAATAAAAAAACATTAGTCTTTGTTGTTTTGTCAGAAACATATAAAAAATTCACATACTTGAATACACGACAAGTATGCAATAGAATGCTGTACTGAAAATGCGATCAAACAACAAATACTGAACATTAATCATTTTAATTATGTATTTTATCATGTGCTGATACAAAGTACAACATGTGTAACTGTTGACACAGACGTATTTATTTATAACGAAAACTAATTCAGAATCAAGACATACATATTCGAATCTAGAGTTTTAAGTTTATTCTATTTCTTTAATTTTGGTTACGGACTTCGCATAATTAGAGGGCCGAGTGTGAATGTTATTCACATTCAGTTTTCCTTGTGACTTTGAGAGGAAATATTTTATGTTGTGAAATCATATAAATTTAGGACATCGTATTTGTGTATGTTTGTTGGAAAGCACAAAGTTACACAAATGGGCTGTCCAACAGCGGGTACCGAAACCCGATTTTTAGAACTATAAAACCTCAGAACTATGCCAACCAGGTGGGTTAATATCATACTAAAAACAACGTAGGTTTGTAAATTTATGGTTTTATATTTATATATAATATCTAAATAAATAGCTTTTCACTTTCAACCTTGTTATATGAGCAAATATTGATAAACACATATCTACTAAAAAGTTATGAGGATATACTTAGAGGTTAAACGTTCATATTCTAGTCGGTGACATAATAACTTTAAAGATTACTTAAGAAACGTTTCAGCTCAAAATAACCTATTTGGAAATAAACAACTACGTTGAAATTATTGTCTAACCCTCTCAAGATCTTTAATAAAAGTCATGTGACTTATTTTGATCGTTTTTTTCTTCTCCTATATATCATACAAAAAGAGTTTACTACACATAAGACTGGTAAAATGAGACGTTTAATGCTTTATTCTGGATATACCCTTCAAACTTCAAGAATTATGTTTTATATGCAGTAAGTTTAAGACAGTTTACCTCATTTGTTAACTGGGTAGAAATTGAAGAAAAGGTGATTCACTTTTTCATTATAGCCTTTATTAACTTATTTACTTTTTCATTTAGCTGTTCTACAAACATGCAGTGTTTCTGATCATACATTCTATTTTTAGGAGAAAAGTCTATGAAAGCCGAAATTAATTTATTCTTCCTACAAATATGTCAACTACATCATCATCCCATTTACCCCAGTGAGGCTAACACCCAACTTAACTCGTAATATAAATTCATAAAAATATCTTTATTCGTCGTTGTTGCTTTAACCTTTTCAAGATTGCTGTAAAAGCCAGCTTTAATCTTTCGTTCAACTGTTGCGGAACCAAAAATTCATTTGCTTTGAGTTATTTTTCAATTTTCATATATGAAAAAAGGACCCATGATCACCAAAGTGTAGAGTGACCAAACATTTCTCAGGATCGAACTAGAATCCTCAATTCAAATAGTCTTGCAGTCATTCAAAGATTGTCCATTTGGTTTTGTAATTTCTTTGAATACGTTATAAAGTATCAACTTCGAGATTCACTAACCAAAAATAGTGTTGTGAAAATAGATACGGATAGCTAAAAAATGAAATTCACTTTTACGAATGAAAGAAATAGAAATATGCTAGTATCTGTAGAATAAACATTGTCAGTTATGTGAAGATTCAAATAACCATGCCTTCTTGATGTGTGAATAGTTTACTACAGTTAAATAACATGTCAGTTTGAAGCATCGGATAATATATCCAAAGGAGAGTTCGAAATAATAAGATACAAATTGATGGATATATGTCATTGGCAGCAATAGTTACAACAACAACAAAGGACTTTAAATATATGTCATTGGCAGCAATAGTTACAACAACAACAAAAGTCTTTAAAGAATGACTTTAAACTTCCAGTTCAGAAGAAGAAACAAACCGAAGTGTGAATATGAAACTAAACGTTTTTAGAAACACAAGTTTATTACAAAATTATAGACATATTAATCACGTATAAAACCTTCAAAATATAAGTTACTACTTTATAACTTCCTGAAACTGAATATGTGATATTCAATGATCATCTGAAACATATAATGTAACCCACGCTATTATGTATATATAGAAAACCATGAACTGTATTTAATAAACCTTCAATCCGATTGATATGGCACTGATCAATCGGGTACCTAAACCTACTTAAGTATTAGCAGGCCCAGGACTAGTAAGTATATATAGCGAGTTTGTGGACCTTCCTTGAGTTATGGGAATATTGGCATGAAACTTAGTGAGATAAGAGGTTAATGTAGTTAGTTTTATAAAACTTTTTAAAGATACAAATGAAGTTACTCTATAACAATGTCAAAAATACGTTGAACGGATATTTAAAGTTAAGTGCTAAAATAGCACTCCCAGGGCATTATTCAACTTTTGTATATTTGACAATAATAAGAGAGAGAGAGAAATGTGTCAAAGGATGAAAAACTGGTATGCTTTGAAATAAATTTACACAATTTAATATTCACACATATATATATAATAACTTTATGTTCTTCGTGACTGCCGAAAGGAATCACGGGTAAGCTAATGACACTTTAACCAAAAGATTTGCGGGCAGATAAGAAACAGAAACTAAGAAGAAAAGAAAGATCGTCAAAGTGATGGAAATTGTGAAAACTGAAATAAAGACAGACTAAAATAATCGAGAGGTACTATTTCTCTTTAAAAATTAAAATTAATTTTATTTACACAGAGAATATGAATGGATTAAGCCTTGACTTGGTATTCTGGCCAGATTAGCTTTATCTGAATAAACTTACAATTAATTTTTATTACTACTGAATTAAAGGATAGAACGTTTAAAACTGAAGACTGGCTGCAAACTGAGACTTAGAATGAAGGCAAAGCAATATCTTATATATATTTATATATCTTAGAGGTAGAGAAGCATTTCCCAACACATTAGTTACAAAACTCGCTCTTTGTCGTGAAACCTAATGAAAGGTTAAGACAACTTTGTATTATCATAAGAATGTTGGTTAGGAGATTAAAAAAGTCATTTTTCTAGTCTTGCACCAAGACTCAACAAGTTCACGTCAACGCAAAAGTCAGTTTGAAAGTTATGGAGACCACGCAGTACGATTTCCTAAACAGTAGTCAATAGTAGATTTCTAAAGACAGCTACAATTTATACTAGAATAAGTCTGATAGATCCAGAATTACTTTGAAATTAAGGTTAATATCCTAATTTCATTTGGATGCATATCCATCGTGATTGAATAAATTAGAACTTTAGGATCTACAAAACAGCAAAATATAAACAAAACTTTAAGAGAATAAGAGCAAAACCATTTGCAGAGTCACGACACAATAACTTATAATACAAAATAAGCTTTTTATTTAGCCACACTTCAGATTAAATGGGTATAACTTAATTAAAATAATTAAAACTTAAGCGAATAAACGTGATAGTTATATTTAAAAGTTACAATATCAGTTAAATGTAAAATCAAAATAAGTAGAAAATGCTTTCATCAAATAAGGAATTAACGGAGATTAGAAAATAAGTAACATACCAAATTTCATGGGTAATACAAAACCCAAGTCAGACATAATAATATTGAAAACTGAACAAAGACGTAGATAATACATTGATATACTCCACAAAACAGTAGCTTTTAAGGGTAACTGCCTTCCCACAATTGGCTATAGACAGTGAAAGGCAGTAGAAGCTGAGACGTTGAGGGTGTAAACACTCAGCTTCGTACTCTTATTTGATTGATGATTTTTTTTTCCTATGACGGCTGACTAGATTGACATCGGCGTTTGGATATTGTCTGATAGATGGGATATCCCCAACACATTTGGATGCTATTACCACAGACATTATCCGTTATGGCAATAAGATGTCAACCAGGACCGATAACGGTATTGCGATATATATATATATATATACATCATGTACGCGCCAGTGAAACTATAATAAAATAAAGTTATAACATTTATACAAAAGTATAAATGGTGGTATATTAAAACGAAAATTTCTTCGGCCATAGCACCAAAATGCTCTTAGACATAATCAAAACAACATATGTAAAACTAGAGAG